AACCGAATCATGAAGCTTTTTAGCAAGCTCCGCCCACTTTGGTACATGCTTTGCCCACCAAGAAGGTTGTCCTCATTCCCTTCGCACAATTGCACCCACTTTTTCCCGGTTTCCAAGACCTCTTGAAACCCAGTTACGATGCCTAATGTTTAACTCCGCTCGTTTCTGTGCATGTCCCGCCCGCTGACAGCAGTTAACCTTGTTTCCACCGCTTAACTCTACCGTCTGTTTTACCAATAGACTTCTTGGAACTGAGTTATGGGTTTGGTAGCAAACCCTACAATTGTGCTGGCACGCCCAAGATTAACATTTGGCCTCCTCCTTCTCTGTTCTCTCTCCACCTTTTTCCAGCTTTCCATGGCTTCTCGGAACCGAATTATGAGGACTTGTAGAAACGCTGTACTTCAGGCGCGCCCGCCCATTGTGGGCGGGCCTCCGCCCACGTCATGTATGCTGGGAACACCTTAGACATTGCTCCCTCACCAATTTTTTCTGCTCTGTAGGCTTTCTCCCAACCGAGTTATGAAATTTTTCATAAAGCACTGCTTTTTTAGAGAACGCCCGCCCACCGGGGTGGGTCTCCCTAATTCGATGTGGCTTACCAATGCACACCTTTACCCACTTTTTGGCCCAGTTTCGAGGTCGTTTTGTCACTGAAATTGAAATCTTGGTCGTCAGTACAGTTCATTTCGATGCACGCCACGCCCACTGTGGGCGGGGCTTAGCTGATGTGTGTTTTGTACTTCGTGAGACCTTGCCCACCCATCCCACACTTGACCCGGTCCCTCCAGGCGGATCCCGAGGAGCTAGGGAATTTCGTGACAGACATACAGACGACAGACGACAGACGACAAACGACAGACGAAGCGCTTTATAGTAAGTAGGATATGCATCACCTTCATCTACAATTCACTTCCAACCGTGGGCAGCAGTTCAGCTCCCTCTTGTGGAAGAGCATATACTTCTCCCTGGTCAAAGAAGAAGTGGATGCAGTTTTTGAAATCATGTTACTATCATGAGTTTCTTTCCGAGAAGAGGGCTGGAGAGTGGGGAAGTGAGCGGTCAACAGAATCGTCCGGTCGCGGCACCACCGCGTGCAACCAGTCGCGCGACGTCGCGGCGGCGGGGTAATTTTTCAATGGGCACGGGTTTTTTAAATTCGGTTGGATCAGTGAATCTCTTGTCCCCATTGATCTGTGTACTCAGGTATCGAATTCCAACTTATTTTCTCCCATTTATAGTTTTTCTTCTTCTTCAGCGTTTGTCCCGCTTGTTGGCGGGGTTCGCTTTTCTGATGTGCTGGCGCCCTTTCCAAGCAGGGCTCTTTTCGGAATTTTGGTGGAACACGAGAGGAGTTGAGCTCTGGAAACCCCTACGTGTAGATGTCGCAGTCAACGCGGAAGTCAACTATCCACAGCTCGAATGCAACGCTTTTAATACGAAAGAAAAACAAGGCAAAGTTTGCTTTTGTATGACACCGTTGAACCACCTCTTGCTAAGAAAATTCAGGAAAATTTTGGACTCTGGACGGAGAGTTCTTCCGTATCCACCTTATAGCCCTGACCTCGTGCCAAAGGATGCCCACCTGCTTCCCTCTCCAGACCACCTCCTAGAGAAGAAATCTCATCCTAACCATCATGATGTCAAAATCGACATCTGATCTTTCTTCGATCAGAATTCAGTGGAGTTCTACAAGAGAGGCATCGAACAGCTTCTAGTGCGTTGGCAATAGGTTGTAGATATTGATGGTGTGTATTTGCTGGATGAATGGAACAAAAAGATAATAAAAATATTAAATCAAAATTCGCCAGTTTGTTGCAAGACTT